CCTGCCCAGGCGGGTCTTGAATCCGCGGGCTCAGGCAATCCACTCACCTCAGCCTCCCAAAGGCGCGGGATTACAGGCTGAGCCACCGAGCCCAGCTAGTACTTCATTCTTTTATATGGCTGAATAGCAAAAGTTCATTATATGGAGATACCACCTCTTTAAATATTTTTGTAGGTTTAGTGGATACAAATGCAGTTTTGTTACATGGATATATTAACCAGTGGTGAAGTCTGTGCTTTTAGCAAAACCATCACCTGAATAGCATTCATTGTACCCATTAGGTAATTTCTCATTTCTTATCCCCCGGAACCGTCCTCCTGTCTCCAGTTTCTATTATTTCACTCTCTATGTCCATGTGTACACAGTCCTTACCTTCCTCTTATAAATGGCATTTGACTTTCTGTTTCTTTGTTATTTTACTTAAAATAATGGCCTCCAGTTCCACCTGTCTTGCTGCAAAAGACATGATTTCATTATTTTTTTTATGGCTGAGTAGTAGTCCATGGTATATATACCACATTTTCTTTATCTCATCACCCACTGATAGGCACCTACATTGATTCCATCTTTGCTATTGTGAATAGTGCTGTGATAAACATACAAGTACAGCTATCTTTGAGATACCATATTTTGTTATCCATTGGTTGATTGATAGATATTTGAATTGTTCCACCTTTTGGCTATTAGAATAATGTGACTCTACATTTACCAAAAAGATACCTGCATATGCATGTTTATTGCAGCTCTATTCACAACAGCGAAAACATGGAACCAACCATGCTGCCCATTGAAGCTGAATTGGATTTTTTTAAATGTGGTACATATACACAATGGAATATTATGCAGCCATAAAGAAGAACAAACATATGGACTTTGCAGCAACTTGATGGGCGACAGAGTGAGACTCCAACTCAAAAAGAAAAAAAAAAGAAAATGAACTCATTGATTTCTGCATCATTATCCTTGCCCATATGACCTTTCCCCAAATTTCAGGATTCTCCTGATAAAGAAAGTGATCATTAATGTTAAAAATATATTGCACAAATTCCTTCTTGTTTTCATATTTGAGATGTCTAGAGGTTATTATCTTGGAGGAAGAGTACTTATGTGTCGAACTTGCCCAGAAGTTACTTCCATCCATCTTCTCTTGGAAATCTGATTTTTTCCCCCAATCAGCTCTTGTCAACTTTATTGATTTGATGATAATTTATAAGTACTATAGTTTCACTATTTAGGGTAGGTGGGGATTAAATGGGCTTCAAAAGTTACTGGTAAGACATCTCTTTTTGATAGTTCTGCTCCACCTGAGGGCATTTACTGAATTGAATGACCTTGAGCTTTAGTTTTCATAGTGAAGTGAGGTGCAGAAGACAAAGACAAAGTACAGGATTCACAAACAGGAACACAAGGGCGGATCCCTTCCTAAATCTGAGACCCTAAATGGGGAACTAATAATAAACTTGCTCACCACCTACACCAAGAAAGAGTATAAAGAAAAGTTAATGTGACCTATACCTTGGTGCTAAGTGGAGACAGATTTGACAAAATTGAAAAGGAAGCTGATGAAAATAGATGTGAAGACACTTATCAAAAATGCAAGACATGACTTGGAGACACTGTGTTACCCAGGCTGGTCTTGAACTCCTGGACTTAAGCAATCAATCCTCTTGCCTCAATCTCCCTAATCTCACCAGCGTGAGCCACCACACAGGGCCAGTATTACATAACTTCTGATATAATGCACAGAGAAGAGTGCAACATCACTTCTTTGGTATTTCTGCCAAAAAGGGTTAACCCATATCTAATCATGAGGCAGTGTTATGCCGACTCAAATTGAGGGGCTCTTCAAAAGTGTCAAGGTCATGAAAGACAAAAAAGAATGAAGAACTGTTCATATTATGGGAGATTAATGAGGTATGATAACTAAATTCAGTGCACAATTCTTGATTGAATCTTAGACCATAACATTTTCTTCTTTTTGCATAGAGGACATTATTAGGCCAATTGGAAAAAGTGGAATTAGATCTGCAAGTTAGATAATGGGGTTGTATCATTGCTAATTTTCTGATTTTATTATACTGCAGTTATGTAAGATAATGTCTTTAGTTTTCAGAAAATGCACACTGAAATATTTAGGGGAGTTGTGTTTGTAATTTGCTCTCAAAAGGTTCTGTAAAAATAATGTGTATGTCTATGTATATAAAAAAGTGAGATAAATTGGCAAAAGCAAATGTGGTAAAATGTTAATATTTAGGGAGTCTGGGTGAACAGAAATCTTAATACTATTCCTACAACTTTTCTGCTAGTCTAAAATAAGTTCAAAATAAAAGATTAAAAATAAATAAAATGACTCGCCATTCCTCCCTCTTTCCCCCCACACAAAAGATATACCCAAAACACTGGATAGCAAAGCACATAGATTGGGACAGGCTTTTTGGAGTTAGTGTTACTTATTTAATTACATTAAGTTAATTATGTAAGTTGATGCTTTTATAAAAATAGTAACAAAAAAATAAACCTTTCAAACTAGTAGAGAGAAAGATGGACCAAAATTAAATCCAAATATAGCAAGAAAGGGAGAAAAAACTCAGAAAAGATAGGACAAATAAAAGTACAAAATAAGATAGAAATAATTTTAAATGGACTAAATGCTCTAGTTCAAAAACACGAATTGTTAGATTGAATTAAAAAGTTCAGGCTTGCATTTTTTAAAGAAGCATTTCTAAAACATATTGTTATAGAAAGTTTGGAAATAAAAGGCTTAGAAAAAACATACTAAATAGAACAAAACTGGCAGAGTTATACTGATATTGAACAAAATAGACTTTGAGGCCAAAAGCAATACTAGAGAGAAGTAGAGTTACTTTGTAATAATAAAGATTTTATTTACCAGGAAGATGCAATAGTTCAAAACCTACATGTACAGAAAGATGTAGCCTCAAAATATGTAAAGCAAAACTCAACAGAAACCACAAGAAGAAACAGACAAATCTATTTAAAATGAAGGTGACCTAAGAGAAATATAGTACTATAAAGAGTCAAAGAAACTTTTTTAAATGAATCCTGGAAGAGACTGCAAAACACTGCCTAGATGCCAGTTTAATGGATGAATGTGGTTATCATCATTAATCAACTTTGAGTGATCTTGGTGTTTGTTACGACAAAGAAATTGCTGTGTTTTATTTGGTAACTCTTTTTTAAAAACATTTTCCCAGGAAATTCTTATTTGATTTATCTGGTTGTGGGAAATAACCCATTTTCTTTTGGCAGCCCAAGCATGAGCCTCTCTGCATCTTCTGTGACCTCATGGGCGTGGACTATGAGGAGATGTGTCACTGGCTCTGCCATCGGAAGCTGGCTACTGCCACAGAGACATATATCAAGCCCATCTCCAAGCTGCAGGCCACAAATGCCCGTGATGCTTTGGCCAAACACATCTATGCCAAGCTCTTTAACTGGATTGTAGATCATGTCAATCAGGCTCTCCATTCTGCTGTCAAACAGCACTCTTTTATCGGTGTGCTAGACATTTATGGGTAAGTATATTTGTCTCACTGATTTGCTGGAGAACATTTCTTTCTAGGACTTATCTAGTAACTCTCAGTTGGTATTTGATTCTGCCTCCTGCTAAAGAGAAGGGAAACCCTACCTATCACAACTCAAGATTTGATGATGCTAACAGTTGTGTGCTGCTTAAAATTATACTAAAGCCAAAAAAAAAAAGTAAGTTCAAATCTGGAGCAAATTTACTATTCTCATGGAATTAATTGGTTTTCAAACTCTCACGTCGTAAATTATCACTGAATTTTAAAAATCTAATTTTGTTTTCTAGTTTGCCTTCTCTGGGTAGCTTTCTTTAGCTGTTAAAATACTTCCTGCACATTTATGCTTGTTTGATACCTAATTTTTTTATTCTCTGGTTCAGTTTTTCAAAGAACCTATGAGACCTCTACCCTATTTCCCTTCTGTGTGTGTAACACTGTGAGTCTGTAAATTAACAATGATTTTACCATAATTCTATTGTTCCCCACTTGAGGTTGAATGAGCCCTCAAAACCTCAGAGTTGAACACCTCTGCATGCTGGGGCCACTCTGCTATGTGACTTATGTTCATCTGCTGGGTACATATTCCACATTACTGACTTATAAACATTTATTTTCAACGATGTGGAAAGTTTCACAATGTTGGGGAATTACCCATTTCTTTCTTCCTAATGTGTAACTTTTGAATATTTTTAAAAAGCTATTTGTTTCTTTTTTCCCTTTCCATACTATTTTTACTATTACAGATTTGAAACATTTGAGATAAATAGTTTTGAACAGTTTTGCATAAATTATGCAAATGAAAAACTACAGCAACAATTCAATATGGTAAGAATTTTCTTCCTTGAATAATATTCTGCTGTAAATTATTCTCTTGAATTCCTAATCTTTGTTTAAAGCCTAGTTTCTGAAAAGAGCTCATAAATTATAATTATTATGTGGGGTTTAGAACAGCTAAACTGCTGAAGAACTGATGATTAATAAATGATGCAGCATTAGAAAAATGTTTTATGGTCCAGGTGGAATTCAAGGTCATCCTTGGATTGCTGTTTGATAATAATGAATATTTGAGGCAAATAAGTTGAGTGAGAGAAGCAGGAAGTGTGTGAGGTAGGATAGGGAATATGAAGCTTTAAGCCCAGGGTTAGCCTTCACTTTGTTATTCTGAAGCTAATCGTATATGGCATTATGACTGTCTTACTTCTTACTTGCTATATTAGAAAAATGTCAGAACTAAGGATTAGAACTTCACATATTCTCTCTTCAACAGTCTGAGCCATTCATTGAGACAATGGCAATGGGAATATTTTGAGAGTGGCTCTTGAGAAGTAGTAATATTAAATATCTTAGAGGAGTATCATGGTACTGAGAGATTAGGAGGTGCTTAAAAATGAGGGGCAGCAGACTGGAATAGTGAAGGGCACAGACCCCAGAGGTGAACTGCCTGAGTGGTAATCCCACTCTGCATGTATGATCCAGGCCACCTGGGGTAAGTTGATTGACCTCCTCAGGCCTTAGCTTCCTCATCTGCAAAATGGAGATCATCATAGTACTTACTGCATATGATTTTATGGATTAAATTAGTTAGGATGTGCAAAGTATTCATCATGTGCCAGACACAGTTCTAAGTGCAAGACTAGGGATAGTTACTAGTATGGATGAAAGAGGATATTAAAAAATGAGTCACCCCCAGGAGCTGTAAGATAGGAGAGAGCAAAGATCTTGCAATTATAAAACCTTTTAGATGAATTTTTACAAATATTGCATGTGCTTTGATAAAAGATTGAATCATCTTTATTCAGCAAATTAAGCTGCTGTCACAGTGAAATAAAGTAGAGGCGATCTTAAAACCTTAGGATTATGACTGTCTCCTTATTAAGAAGACTGATGTGCTTTTCATCTCAGCATAAGGGGCACTATTATAATAAAAACTTATCCGAAACTAAACTGAGTGTTATTTCTCAGGGTTTTTCTGAGTTTCTTAATACTTTAATCAGTGCCATAGCCTTCTGCTCTTTTCTGCTGTATTTTGGTATATGTTTGACTGGAAATATTAAGAACCCATACCAGTTGCACTGGGGACTGGCTAGTTTTCTGTTTCTCAGGGGCCTCGTGTCTCCCTTGTTTCTCCTCCTTACTGCTTTCCGTCTCTTCATCTGTCTTTCCTTCCTTCTCTCTTCACACACACCTCCCTCCTACCATACTGCATCTTAGCTTCTCTCTGCACAATTGCTCATATTCTTTCCTTCCTGGTCTGTATATATTTTCTCTCTGCACAATTGCTCCACTCCCTCTTATCAGATGGCATATTCTTTCCTTCTAGTCTGTATGTATTTTCTCCACCTTGCGGTTTCTATTTCCTCACTAACTTCAAACTTCCTGTGAACCCAACAGTGGTTGGAATTAAAACTGAGGAGTTAATTCAATTAGGTCTGCCTGCTTCTGTTTGGTCTCATTTCTTCTTTTTCCTACTTTTTCTATGAAACTGAAGGCCATAGTAGCTGAAGGCCACCCGCTGAATACTGAAACTTAACCTTCACTGGCTACTTAAAATAGGTAACATTCATAAGTCACCATGTTAATGGTCTCTTCAGTTGTTTTTCAGGAACTTGGGCTAGCTCCTGTCCAGTTCAAACTAGTTGAGACTATAGCCTCTTCAGCTGGGCCTGTGCAAGTGCCCAAAAGTTAGCCCCCTTTTTTTTTTTTTTTTTTCCGGAGTCAGGGTCTCACTGTGTTACCCAGACTGGAGTGCAGTGGCAAAATCATGGCTCACCATAACCTCGACTTCCAGGGCTCAGGTAATTCTCCCACCTCAGCTTCTCGAGTAGCTGAGACTACAGATATGTACCTCCATGCACAGCTAATATTTTGATTTTTTTGTAGAGATGTGGTCATGTTATGTTGCCCAGGCTGGTCCTGAACTCCTGGGCTCAAGCAATCCTCCCACATTGACCTCCCAAAATGCTGAGATTACTGGCATTAACCACCATGCCCAGCCAAGAGGTAGCCTTTTGCCATCAGAGGACCAAAAACTTCACCCTCAGATCATGCTCATGCCATCATTTTCTATACATATGTTCTATGAAATGCTATGAACTACAGCTATGCTTGCTCAGAATGAGCCTGTTACTCCATTTTTCCCTACTGCCAGTCACCTTTCCCCATGCCTTAAACCACCTCACTTTCCTAACCCATAAATATACCTAAGGCTTATCTTTGGGGAGGTGGATTTGAGAGCTGTTTTCCCATCTCCTCATTTGGTGACTTTGCAAATAAATCTTTTCTCTTTTGTAAAACCCATGTCACAAGTGATTGATTTACTGGGCACGGGTAGAATGGACCTGGACCTGGCTAGCAACAGAACACACTTCCCATTCTCTTAACCTTCTTAGCGTCCACTACAAATTGTCTGATTATTTCTTTGTTTCCCAATTCAGATACCTGAGAGAGAGAATTTGATTAACAGTTCATTTTTTTCATCAGAGATCTTTGACAATGGAGGGCCCTGACGTATCCACACTGGTTTAGTCAGCTGGGACTAGGAGCGTGAGGTCTCACAGTAAGGAACTTGGCTGCATAGGGCTTCTCCCTGATCTGGGGCTGTAGGTGGGGGCAGTTGGCATGAGAAACATTGATTGGCATGTTTAGTGCTTAGGCATTACTATATTGACCAAGGATCTCTTGCCATATTGAACTTTATGCCCACATTCTTTGACAATTGAGCATTCAAATTTTTTCAGACTCCATGAACTTTTTCAAACCAGATGTGGAGGTCTGTATGAAAAATAACCTCTAAAGTGTAGAGCAGTGCTTCTGTTGTGAATGTGAAGACTGCATATAAATTAATAAAATTTTTTTTTAAATAGAGCTCACTGTTTTGGAAGATATTGGTACCATCAGTCAGGGCATCCTGCTGACATATGGTACCCTATTTGCCTTTTCCCCAATCAAAAGAACAGAAGAAATTTGCTTTCTAATTATCATGACATAAATATTCATATGGATGACTGTTTTTTGACTAAAGCTTATTATAGCTGGTTTGACTATAAACACTGGAAATGAGCCAAGGATGACATTACAATAAGTATAGAATAAAGTGGGAAAGTTCCAGTTACATGGCGATTATGTATTGAAAATCTTGTGGCACCTAAGTTTCATGTGGCTTGAATCCTGGAAAATATGAGTTGTCTGGTCATGGCCACAAAAGACTAGTCTTCCCAAAAAAACAGCAAGATGTGTGAGAGAACCAAAGAAGACAAGTAAAGAAAAGCAGAAATCCCCTAAGACTGAGTAATGGTTATTAGCATCTGTAGAAACTCAAAGTGGAGGTGCTAGCAGCCTTGGCTACAGGAGCTACAGCTCCTGTCTGAACTAGCTTGGGTCCCATTCATCTTCAGAGCTCAGATCACACAGCCCTTCTCAGGGAAGCCTACCCTGACCAACCTGCATCCAAACTGAACGAGGACTTTGGGGCTCATCACTCACCTATTGTATTTTATAATATGATTACAAGCTGTAATGATGATGATCTGGTTTCTGCCTTCCCACTAATCTCCAAACTCCACAAGGGCAATGTCCACATCTATACTATGCTGTACGTAGACATGTTTAAATGAGTGAATGGAGATGGGAAGCCATGGTGAAAGTGGTGGCCAAAGCCTTTAGCAGATATAGGAGTGGACTAGCACTGGTTGCAGCTGCTTGCAGAATTAGATGTAGAATCCAGAAAAGCGAACCATAGACTCCTTGATCATGGGGAATAATTAAGGCAGACACAAAAGACCAACCATTATCTAATTTGGAGACACCTGAACTTCAGCACCTCAGTCCCTTAGGAGAACTATTTTGTTTTGCTGAAGGCATTGCCCAGCATTGTTCAGTAGTCTGGAGGGCATCCACTCTGCATAGTTGTTCAATACTAGCCAAGGCATTCCTGTGTTGTATGTTGTTGGCAGCATGGTACAATAATTTAAGAAACCAAAGTATACAGTGTAATTGGAGAACTATACAAAATCACACACAAAAAATCACAGACTAGTACATGAATCAACTATTTATATCATGTATATACCTAGATTTACTTGTTCATCAAAAATCCCATATAGCTGAGGTTTTACTATCTGTGGTTTTTCTAAGGTTTTTATCTTTGCTTTCTCTATGTATAAATCATGCTTTCCCATGAGATTGTTGTTGTATACCATGGAGTATCTCAAATTATGTTGGGATCATCTTAGTGTTTTATATAAACATTGTTTCTTTTTTTCTTTTTCTTTGTTTTTTTAGTTGGAGTCTTGCTCCGTCACCCAGGCTGGAGTGCAGTGTTATGATCACAACTCACCACAGCCTTGACCTCCTGGGCTCAGGAGATCCTTCCATCTCAGCCTCTCAAGTAACTGGGACTATAGGCATGCACCACCACACCCAGCAAATTTTTTTATTTTTGTATAGACAAGGTCTCACTACATTGCCCAGGCTGGTCGAGAAATCCTGGGCTCAAGTTATTTTTTAGCCTCAGCCTCCCAAAGTGCTGAGATTATAGGTGTGAGCTACCACACCCAGCAAACATTGTTTCTTGACTGCATTCCTTATTATAATGATCCAGTTATGATTGCTTTTTTTTCATTTCAGCATGTCTTCAAGTTGGAGCAAGAGGAATATATGAAGGAACAAATTCCATGGACACTCATAGATTTTTATGATAATCAGCCTTGTATAAATCTTATAGAATCTAAACTAGGCATTCTAGATTTGCTGGATGAGGAATGCAAGGTAAGTATGATTTTCTGGGGCATGTTGTCCATCAAAATAGATATATCAAAGTTGGAAAATAAGTGGGTTCAAGCAGAGATTCATTAATATATCATGAGATGCCATAGTGATGACAAGTGGGGGTCATGCTAACTTTCATTCTGAAGGGATACTAGATCCCAGGGATTCTATTTGCAAGTGAAATGAAAATTTCCCTTCTCTTTTCAGCTGATTTTAAATTATGTGAAAAATTGACATTAGATATAGTTGCTACCAATTTCAGCCACTTTTGTTATTAAATCACTTATATTTAGTACTTTTGTTCAGAGACAGAATGTATTTAAAGAAATGTAAGAAATTATGTAGAAGATATTTTAAATAATTGTTTAAATAGGCATAATTTTAAAATTGACTAGTTCTGATCTCCTACAGTATGTAAATAAATAAATAAAATTGACTTGTCACTGTTCTTTATTGCTGACATATATGATAGGGATGGAGTTGTACCTGTAATATTTGAAGATATAACATGTTAGAAAAAAATATTGAACCCCTAGCTTTACCACTAACTGAGTGATCTTAGGCAAACCTATTTTTTCTCTTAAATTTTCTTTAGTTTATATGCAGTAAGTTACATTTTACCGTAGGTCAATCCTTCTAAGCATCCAGATATCTTAGAACATTAAGGGCACATGTAATAAAAAGGTACTCAATTTCACCTGAGATTTTTAAAAATGCAAAGCAAAGGAAAAATGTTATACTGCTTGTTACCCATCAAATAGGCGAGTTTAAACTTGATATCCTTTATGTGATAATACTAAATGAATATTGTACATATACTCTTAATAAATGGCGTGAATTTGTATGACATCATTTATAGGAAATTTGATGTTTATCATAATGGTAAATACATATATCCTTTGAGCCAGAATTGGAACCGCTGGGGAGTTCAACCTAGGAATATTCTTGTAAAAATACCCAAGGTATACACATGTAAGAATTACACTGTGGTAATTGTCATAATAACAAAAAATCAGGAACAACGTAGTAGCAGTTCAGAGAATGCTATTATTAAGAAAGCAAAAAAAAATGCAGGGAGTATATAGAATGATCCCATTTCATATACATGCTTAAAAGACAGGAAGAGATCATGAAGTTGGAGGAAGTGGTGAGAAGAGACTATTCTCCACTTTATACCTTTCTGTGGATCTCTAAGAGATAAATGTGGAGAGAATGAATTCCTAAATTGAATATAAAAATTCTTAAATAAAAATGAAAACTGGTGTTTTGACAGCTGATGCATTAGTTAGAAGAGTCTCAATATTCACCCTATTTTCTTTCTTTTCTTCCCCCCTGAACATAGATGCCTAAAGGTACAGATGACACTTGGGCCCAAAAATTGTACAATACACATTTGAACAAATGTGCACTCTTTGAAAAGCCTCGCCTATCAAACAAAGCTTTCATCATCCAACATTTTGCTGACAAAGTAAGGAAGTTTTGTATCTTTTTTTTATACATCAGTTGAATGTGGGAAAAAAAATCAATAGTCAAGAGGTATTTTTTTTTTCTTTTGCTGATGCTTGCATTCTTTAGGACCTTATATGAAAAGCAATCTTTAGTGCTGACTTGTTGGTTTCTTTCTTTAACCTGACTTGTATTATATTATATATGAAATAAATATGGATCTGTGAACCTGTATCTATAATTCTGAAATCCAGAAAACTCTGAAAACCAAAAGTCTTTTTATAAGTCATTTAGCTAAACCTGATCTCTGACCTGAATTAATGTAAGACATTTATAGTCTTTATTTATCCTAGTTGGTTAAATATTTACATACTTCAGTGTAGAAATATTAATGTGTTTTGTTATAGATTGCTGCTTTAAACGCTGCTAAAGGTATTAAAAATAGTGTGTGTACATACTACATCTCTAAATGTCTAAAAATTATGAGTTCTAAAGCTTAGCTGATATCAAGGGTTTCAGAATAGAGATTGTGGGCTTGTGACACCCTCTGTGATTGATTCACTGGATCCTTTTTCCAGCAAGGAATGCTGTCTGGCTGCTTACAAATTCTAGAGTATATTCGGCAAATCAGGAGCTAGGAGACTAATTTCTCTTTCAAGAAGGTTGTGGCATACACTTTGGGATAAGCTTCTTGGGCCCCCTTCAGAAATTGAGGAGTTTCTAGGTCTTCCCTGACCCTGGCTGGATGACCATATACCTACCTAAGGGTTTTGTGGTACAAGCTATAGAGCCCTTTGAATAGCAGACAACTGAAGCTGCCAGAGTTTTGGAATAGGAATAGAATTTCCACTTTACCAAATCATACAATATTTCCCCAGCCTCCACCTCCATCCATCGTCAGCTCTTCAGCTCTGTCCCCATCAGACAGCTATTTGTTCCTTCTGACCTTTCCTGCTTTAATTTCTTCTTTCCCAAGAGGAAACAGCCCTGCTGGATGGTGAACTAGGTTGGAAAGAAATATAAGGGGCCAGCCTTTGAGATACTCTCTTTGGCCAGCAGAGGATATACTTCTTAAGAAGAAGATATACTTCTTAAAAGTCTGCTTGCCCATTAAGTAGGAGGCTCTTTTAAACCACAGTTACTCAACACTACTGTCCTAGGGAAAACAATATTTGGGAAATTTTACTCTAGAGTTAACATACTTCTCACCGGAAATAGTATGAGTTCTTAGAAAAGACTAATGATACCATTTTTGTGGGAGCTGACTTTAGAGCCTGAGGCTAATAAATATTTTTATTGTTATTGATTATAGTATCTACTCAAAAGTTTTATCAGTTAAGGAAAATTTTCCATGTGCTTTCAGGTGGAATACCAGTGTGAAGGCTTTCTCGAAAAGAATAAAGACACCGTTTTTGAAGAACAAATTAAAGTTCTTAAGTCAAGCAAGGTAATTATGAATAGGTTTACTCTAATCAGGATATAGTCAATGAAATGTTAATTACTTAAGCATTAGCTTTTTAACAATAATAATGATTTTTCTAACAAAAAACAATTTAACTTTTAGTTTTTTAAAAATCCAGTCAGTTTATACTTTTAGTTTTTTTCTTTTTTTGTTGAGTTGTAGTCTCTCTGTTACCCAGACTGGAGTGCAATGGCACACTCATAGCCTCCACAGCCTCTACCTGCTGGTCTCAGGCGATCCTTCTGCCTCAGCCTTCCAAGTAGCTGGAACTACAAGGCGCAAACTACCATGCCAAGCTAATTTTTTTAATATATTGTGGAGACAAGGTTTCACCAAATTGCCCAGGCTGGTCTTAAACCCGTGGTCTCAGGCAATCCTCTCCCCTCTGCCTCTCCAAAGTGCTGGGATTATAGGCATGAGCCACCACACCCAGCCTGCTTTTAGTTTTTAATTTATCAAATATATGACACTTACAGCCTGTCAGGGCCCATTCTAGATGTTGACTCATCTAATCCTTATTATGAGGTGGTATTATCATTACTTTCAAATTATGAATGCAGCAACAGACAGAGAGACATCATGGCTAGTGAGTTTTCAAGGGTTCTGTTTCAGTCATGTTTTGCTTGGCAGGGCAATTAGATAGCCAAGTGGACATATCATATAGAAAGTTGAAAATGAAAATCAGCAGGTCAGAGAAAAGTCAGAGCAGGTGATATAAATATGGTAGTCTTTAGAACTAGATGGAATTTAAAGCTGTGAGATGGATGAGATTGCCTAGGGACAACATGTAGGTAAAAACAGTAGAGCTGAGACCAGAGGCTTTAGGCATTCCAACTTTTAAAGGCTGACAGAGAAGGAGCCAGGAAAGATGTCTGATGAAAATGGCCATGGGGAAGTAAGAACACTGCCTAGAGAAGAAATTATAGAGAAATTTCTTCTAAATTTTTTTACTTTTAATTATTATACATAATAGTTATATATATCTATAGAGTACATGTATTATTTTGATACAAGCATACAATGTGTAATGGTCAAGTCATGGTAATTGGGGTATTTATCACCTCAAGCATTTATTATATCTTTGTGTTGGGAACCTTTTAATTCTACTTCTTTTTTTTTTTTCTTTTTTTTTTTTTTCCTTGAGTTGGAGTCTCACTCTGTCGCTCAGACTGGAGTGCAGTGGCCACTCCTGGCCACCGCAGCCTCGACCTGCTGGGCTCCGGCGATCCTTCCGCCTCAGCTTTCCAAGTAGCTGGAACTACAGGCACGCGCTACCACACCCGGCTAGTTTTTTAATTTATTGTAGAGATGAGGACTCACCAAGTTGCCCAGACGGGTCTCGAACCCACGGGCTCAGGCAGTTCACTCACCTCAGCCTCCCAAGGCACCGGATTACAGGCTGAGCCACCAAGTCCAGCTAATTCTACTTCTTTAGTTATTTTAAAATATACAGTAAATTATTGTTAACTATAGTCACCCTATTATACTACCAAACACTAGATCTTTTTCCTTCTATCCAACTGTATTTTTTATCTATTAACCATCTCTACTTTATTCCCCTCCCTACTTCCCTTTCCAGCCTCTGGTAGCCACCATTCTTCTATCACCATGAGTTCAATTCTTTTTTTAGCTCCCATGTATTAATGGTAATATGTGATATTTGTCTTGCTGTGTCTGGCTTAACATTGTGTCCTCAGGTTCCATCTATGTTGTTACAAATGACAGGTTTTCATTATTTTTTATGACAAAATAATATTCCATTGTGTATATGTACCACATTTTCTTTATTCATGCGTTTGTGGACACTTAGGTTGATTCCATATCTTGGCTATTGTGACTACTGCTGCAGTGAACATGGGTATGAAGGTATCTCTTTGATATACTAATTTTCTGATACACTGATTTCCTTTTTTACATTGGGATTGTTGGGTCATGTGGTAGTTCTATTTTTAGTTTTTTTAGGAACTTCCATTTTGTTCTCCATAGTTAGTGGCTGTACAACAGTGCACAAGAATTCCCCTTTCTCCACATCCTTGCCAGCATTTGTTATTGTCTGTCTTTTGCATAAAAGTCACTAACTGGGTGATATTATGTCTCATTGTAGTTTTAATTTGCATTTCTCTGATGATTAGTGATATTGAACATTTTTAATATACCTGCTGGCCATTTGTATGTCTTTTGAGAAATGTCTATTTATATCTTTTGCCCATTTTAAAGTCAGATTATTATTTTTTCTTATTAAGTTGTTGGGGCTCCTTATATATTCTGGTTATTCTCTTAGGTACAAGTCTTTAATCCATTTTGATGTGATTTTTGTGTATGGTGAAAGATAGGACTCTAGTTTCATTTTTCTGTTTACGGATATTCAGTTTTCCCAGTATCATTTATTGAAGAGACTATCCTTTCCTCGTTATGTGTTCTTGGCACCTTTGTTGAAAATGAGTTAATTGTAAATGTGTGGATTTATTTATGTGTTCGCTATTCTGTTCCACTGGTGTATGTGTCTGTTTTTATACCAATACCATGCTATTTGGGTTACTACAGCTCTGTCATATGACTTAAAGTCAGGTAAAGTCATACCTCAAGCTTTGTTTTTGTTGTTGTTGTTGTTTTTGTTCAGGATTGCCTTGGCTATTTTGAGTCTTTTGTGTTTCCTTATAAATTTTAGGATTTTTAAAATTGTATGAATTCATTGGTATTTTGATAGAGATAGCATTGAATTTATAATTGCTTTGAGTAGTATGGACATTTTAACAATATTGGTTCTTCTGATCCATGAACGTGGAATAATATCCCATTTTTCTGTGTCCTCTGCAATTTCCTTTCTCAATGTTTTGTTGTTTTTCTTGTATAGATCTTTCACTTATTTGGTTAAGTTTACTCCTGGGTATTTTGTTTTATTTGTAACTATTGTAAATGGGATTACTTTATTGGCTTGTTTTTCAGATTATTTGCTGTTGACATATAGAAATGCTACTGATTTTTGTATGTTGACTTTGTATCCTGCATCTTTAATGAATTTTTTATAAATTATAATAGTTTTTTTGGTGCAGTATTTAGGTTTTTCTAAATATAAAAATCATACCATCTGCAAACAAGGATCATTTGATTTCTTCCTTTTTAATTTGGATGTCCTTTATTTCTTTCTCTTGTTTAATTGCTTTGACTAGGACTTTTAGTACTATATTGAATAAAAGTGATGAAAGTGGTTATGGTTGTCTTGTTCCAGATCTTAGAGGAAAGGCTTTCAATTGGTTCTCATTTAGTATGATACTTACTGTGGTTTTGTTGTATATGGCTTTTATCATGTTGAGGTATGTCCCTTATACCCGGTTTTTTAGGAGTTTTTATCATGAAGCTATGTTCATTTTTATCAAATGCTTTTTTGACATCCATTGAAATGATCATAAGGTTTTTGTCCTTTATTCTGTTGATATCACATTTACCAAATTGTGTATGTTAAGCCATCCTTGCATCCCGGGATGAATTCCACTTGATCATCCTGACATTTTCAGTGATATATTCAAGTTAGTGTTTGGCACTTGAGTTAGTAGGTAGACAAATGAAGCAGGTGAGTAAAATGTTGATAAATAACTTGCAGACTTTGATTAGTGTTTTCTTCATCTGATGATAAAACAGTTTATGGAACTGAGGTAATAAGACTTTTAGTTACTATTTTTCTCATAAACCAATTATACTTAAAAACCAGTAATATGTTTAGAGTGGCATTTCCTGTGAATTAGGTTTTCAAGTCTATGTGCAGTAGTTTTGATTTTGCTTTTCCCTCAAACATGGTTGTAGCATTATTGCATTTTCTCACTTGTTTGGGGGGGTTTTGTTTGTTTGTTTTTGCAGCATTTACTCACCTTCCTCTCAGATTTTTTTGGCTCTTAGTGCAGATACTAATTCTACCTGGAATGTGACTCTGACAAGTATTACTTAAGGAAAGGGTCACTATTGAAACTCTCTGTAATGTTTCTTGGTTTGCATTTGAGTTTGGATTTAGAGTGTAATTTCCTTTCACTCTTTATGATTCAGTTTAAGATGCTACCAGAATTATTTCAAGATGATGAGAAGGCCATCAGTCCAACCTCAGCCACCTCTTCAGGGCGTACACCCCTCACCCGCATTTCTGCAAAGCCCACCAAAGGTAGACCAGGTCAGACAGCCAAAGAGCACAAGAAAACGGTGGGGCACCAGGTGAGTTCATGGAGCTGCTGCTACCACACTTCTTCCCCTCTGTATCATCTGAACCTCATGTCTTTTTTCTTTAGCCTCCCAGGTGGGATCCTCAGTTGAGGAAAGGCTAGAACTTTCACTGTAAGATCGTATAATTCCATCCACTCAAACTTCTCTTCATCCAGTTTTAAACCTATGACTCTTCATGAGCCTTTCCCAAAATAAATTTCTCCACATCTTAATTCTTCTAGTGCACCTCATCTCTCTCAGATTACTGCTGTCTTTGTTTTGTTTTCTGGTTTATTTGTCTTTGTATTTGCACAAAGTATCAATCAGCTTCTTCAGAACAGTGCCTTCTCCTTACTTTGATGTCTTATATTCAATGAGAGTTGGAAACATTACACATATGCTTAGTGCCTGAACAGGGCATAGGGGCTTTGAATGGAGGCTGAGCACTAGACAGCTTGCTTTCCTGTGCGTGGGACTTTGTACCCAGTGTAGATAGGATCAGGGACTGACACAGGTCTACAGCCTCCATCCTGATCCCATGTCCCTAATGGTAATCTGTCTCTGACTGTCCTCTTCTATTCTCCTATTCATTCCCTATACTCTTAAGTCATCTGCTACTTTTTTCAGTATCTTACAGCAAAATTCCCACTTTATGTGATTAAATGATCTTAAAACAAAGTTATATTTTTAGTCACATATGCCTGAACTCACAGCAGGAAGCTACAGAAACCTGCATTAAAAGTGGAGTAAGAAAAAGAGGTGGGAGTACGGTGAACATATATTTAGCAGAGCAAGCATAAAAATGGTAGAATTTAGGCAAATTTTAACCAGAAGCCCTAGCATTCTTATTTAGTAGCAGCTTCTCTTCTGAAGATGGGTCAGATTGATAAATGACAAATTCGCCTCCATTAGTGTCATAGGAAGAGAATTTTAAATTGTCTCACATCTTCAACTTTTGACAGAACCTTGGTTTCCCTTTCTGCCCTTTTTCATGCAGTTCAGAAACTCTCTTCACCTGCTTATGGAGACTCTCAATGCCACTACCCCTCATTATGTGCGCTGCATTAAGCCAAATGACTTCAAGTTCCCATTCACGTAAGTATTTTTCAACTACTGAATTTAAGTGTCCATATCTCAGAGGAGTGCCAAACCAACCAAGAAACCAATATATATACCGTAGTTTTAAAGACATGGTCTTGCTTTGTTGCCCAGATTAGAGTGCAGTGGTTTGATCATAGCTCACAATAACCTCAAATTCCTCGGCTCAGGTGATCCTCCTGCCTCAGCCTCCTGAGTAGCTAGGACTACAAGCGTGCACTACCATGCCCAGCTAATTTTTTTATTTTTTGTAGAGATAGGGTCTTGCCGTATTGCCCAGGTTGGTCTTGAACTCCTGGGTTCAAGAAATCCTCCTTTCTCTGCCTCCCAAAGTGCTGGGAATATAAACATGAGCCACTGTGCCTGGCATTTTCCTTATATTTTTATAAGGAAAAAAAATTTGGATAAATCTTCTGTCTTGTAGAGGGAAGCTACTAGTTAATAGAATTTTTTTCAGTTATTTTTCCTCCTGAGAGTGTGAGGACAAACTAGCAGTTAGTCTTCTAGGATTTGAAAAGTTGATATCAGCCAAGCATTTCCAAATCCATTTTCTATTTTGAATTTGGTTCAGTTCAAGATCTTTCTGGACCTTTTGTTGATTTGGGCATTAGTAAAAACCAGAGCTGGCTGGGATAGGACCCCTTTGACAGAGGCATTCCCTCTGTTTTTCAGCTGTGAAACCATCAGAGGATGTCTGCTTTTACCAACACCTCATCCTGCTTCAAATCCTGTGTATGAGGGGAGAATCAGTCTTTCTGGAGGCTTTTCCCCAAAATAGAAATATTTTTCTAATTTTAAAAGTAATATATATATATATACATTATAGAAACAATTTTCAGGAACTACAGAATAGCATTAAAATAAATGAAAAAGCATCCCTCATACCCAGAGAGATAACTGGTATTAACTAGCATAGACCCTTCTTGATTAACTAACATCCCTTCTCTCCCTGCTCCACGTGTGTGTGTGTGTGTGTGTGTGTGTGTGTGTGTGTGTGTGTGTGTGTGTGTGTGTGTTTGAGAGAGAGAGGAGAGCTCATGCTATAGTCTCTGCTTTTAAATTAATCAATTGTGGACAGTTTCCATGTTAGTAATGAAAAAATTCACACCATCATTTTAATAGCTGCAGAATATCCCATTGTACAGACATATCATCATTTATTTAAATTAGTCCCTATTGATGGCCATGTAGGTTATTCCAACAGTGATATAATAAACATCTTTGCCAAACATTTTTGTATATTCATTTGATTATCTCTTTGCAATCATTATCATTATCCCATGATATACTTCTAGAAGTGAAATTTGTAGGTCTAAGACCAGGCACATTTATAAGGATTGTAGGAACTCCACAGTGAATGAGTGCCCTTTTCACTACCCTCCTGCCAGTCTTATTCTCTGAAGATTCTGCATTAGAATGGAGGGCTGTTCTAAAACACTGCCAAGCCCTTTCTGGAAGAAGTTAGAAGCAAGAAAAAGCTGCCGTGCCTAGGTCACCTTGGACAGTTCTAGGGACCATGACATTCTGTCACCGAAGAGGATAGCACAGGGGATGGTTTGGATGGATCACTCAGAGCTTAACTGGGAGAATAGGAGTGATCATGTAGCAGAAGGGAGACCTTTCTACTTCCTCTTTTATTGTCAGTTTAAGATGCCATTTACCTAGAATGAAATAAATGTAAAATTTAATACAAAATACAACTATTTTTCATTTATGTGGACACTATATAAATGCTTGGTATATGCATGTTAAATAGATTAAGAACACTAGGCCAGGCACGGTAGTTCATGCCTGTAATCCCAGCACTTTGAGAGGCCAAGGCAAGAAGATTGCTTGAGCCCAGGAGTTTGAGACCAGCCTGGGCAACACAGCAAGACCTCATCTCTATAAAATTTTAAAAAATTAGTTGGGTGTGGTGGTGCACGCCTGTTGTCCCAGCTACTTGGGAGGCTGAGGTGGAAGGGTCGCTTGAGCGAGCTGCTGTGAGCTGTGATTGTCATGATCATGCCACTGCACTCCAGCCTGAGAAACAGAGTAAGTTATTTTTTTTAAAAATATTTAATTTTTCCTTCCTGTTAGAGATCTCTCCAGGGCTGACCAGTTTTTATTTGGGGATCAATGTATGATGAGCCAATGGATTCTGAGAACTTCTAGTCAGGCCAAGCCATATAATGAGTGTGGAAAATATGCAGCATAATTTTGTGTTTTTAAAAATATATTGACTGGACTTTCTTATGAATCTGTTGTATGAGTCACAGGTAATGTTTATGGCTCTTTATTTTTCTTGCTGTTCATCTCCCCACTTCCTCATATAATTTTTCATTTTGATCACTGCTCCAACTTTTGAATGCTTTCTTTTCTGATTTATACATTTTGCTCTTTACAATGAAATATAGGCTCTGACTGAGGAGAGTAATTTGTGACCTAGCTAGGTCCCTTGTGGATTAATGATTTTAATTTTTGTGTGCAGGTTTGATGAGAAGAGGGCAGTGCAACAGCTGAGGGCATGTGGTGTCCTGGAAACCATCCGGATCAGTGCGGCTGGCTTCCCTTCCCGGTGAGCCTGGCATTTTTCAAATGTGAGGGATCCTGATGGGAGAAGTTCCTCGTTATTTAAATAAGCTAATATGATTTTCTTTTTATAGGTGGACTTACCAAGAATTTTTCAGCCGCTACCGTGTCTTAATGAAGCAAAAAGATGTGCTGAGTGACAGAAAGCAAACATGCAAGAATGTATTAGAGAAACTGATACTGGTGAGAAAGATTTCACTTACCTTTATCTGAACAGAGATCGGCAAAGGTCTTTGGTTCTGACCTTTGAAAGCCCTGGGAATGTTCATATAAAATATAATGATCCAGATTACTTGGGGATGGCAGAGGGGCAAGCTCACTGTGTTTAGGATGCAAGAACCAGTAAGGATGGTCATCCACTGTGAGGAAACAGAATTGTGAGACCTGGACCCAGACTCAAGATACATTCTTTTTAGAGGATTTGATTATTATTCATAAAAATTTACCTAGTACTTACTTATGGAAGATACTGTGCCAGATGCTGTGTGATTAAGAAAAAAATAAAGCGTCTCTTGAACAATTATTGTAATACTATAAGAAAAGGATTAGCAGTAGGGGGAAACTGCCAGGGGAGGGCAGGGGTGGGATTGGCAGTAGTGGGAATCTGCTGGGGCAGTGGAGTGAGGGAGCACACCTCATCAACAAGAGTACCTGCATCATGAACATTTGTATACCTAACCCTGAAATGTACCCCACATCTTAAAAAATATATATATTTAAAAAAAAGAAAAAAGTCTTATTTTCAGGTAACATAGTCTTTTTTGGAAATTAATGCATTTTAAAGATGAGTAGAATGTACTTAGTGTCTCTATTAAATGCTTAATGAGTGGTACAAGAAATTAGGGGAAGGCAAAGTCACATCCAGCTATGGGAAGAAGGGACAATTTCATGAAAGAAATGTGTTTTGACTCTTGAAGAATGGATAAAATTATATAAAAATAGAAGGAGAATATTCTAAGATGGAGAAAATGTGAAGAAGTAAGAAAGCATAGGGTTTGCTTAGAAAACAGCAAAGTAACTTTTTGTAGTATAAAACTTGTGTATGGGACAATAGAGTAATGATTAGGAAATGTAGGCTGGTGACATAAAGAGTCTTGTATGCCTGACTTAGGAGTTCTCAAGCTTTATTGTACATCAAAATCACCTGGAGGGCTTGTTAAAATACGAATTTCTTGACTCCACCATCAGAATTTCTGATTCAGTAGGTCTGCGATGGGCCCAATAGTTTGCATTTCTAACAAGTTCCAAGGTAATGCTGATGCTATCTTAGGACTATGTCAACCACTGATCTAGGTCTTGGAAAATTTGAGATGCATGAAAGGTTTTTAAAAAATATTTTCACTTGTTTAACACTAGTCTCAATGGATTACCTCACTTTGAGGTAATTAGTCATAATTACTAGCTATTAACTAAATGTAATACCCCTTCTTTGGCGATTTTTTTTTCTTTGAAAGTGCTAAGACTACTTTCTTAGTAATATTTTTAAAATCTGGTACTTTCTGAGTTTGGCCCACGTCTCCTCTAACCTAGGTTCAAATAGGAGTAGAGCAGAAAGTTGGAACAAGTGCTGTCCTCCTCACCCAGACCACTCCAGGCCTGCAATCAGGGACTCGCAGGAAATTTAGGCAGAGGAGGCTCCAGAGATGGAGGCAGGGCTGGTGTGGGGCGGAGCAGGGAAAGCCGAGGTGGGAAGTAGGGGGGAGGCAGAGATCCACTTTCTAGCTAGAGTTCCTATGCAAAGTGTATTGATTTAAACTGAAGCAATTTTAGATTTTTTGAGGTTTCTGATATTCTGGTTTTATGTACGAGACAGGAGATATCCTGCCCACAGGGAAAAATGATTTTTCCATGATTTAATTTAGAATTCCAGATCACAGTAATGATCATATATAAGTTCCATTCTTCTTTTAATACAAGAATGGTTAATAATATGCAGCTTCTAAATAAGGTGAACCATGATGTAATAAACCAAAAAGAGCATGTATATCTGTGTTTATGGCTCCACTCTGCTTATGCTCAAAAGTCAATGAGTAATATAAATGATTATATTTTTGTAAAAGGAGTTTGAAAGTTGTAGGATTTTAAACATATTTATTTGTTTGTTTTTAGATATTATTGATAAAGCCAAGGGATAACTGTTTAAAAACTTAACTCTTATTGTGGATATCCAAGGATTTTTGTTTTTTACCTTTTATTTCATATGCATGTTTTCCTGCCTTATTCTTCATGCTGGTGTTTTTGTCCCTTCAGCTTTCTCATGGAATATACAGCCTGATGTAATCCTTACAGCCTCGGTCAGTCAGAAAGTGTCAGCATCTCCATTTCCTTGAGATGTTTAAAATACAGACAAGCAAATAATAGCTGCCTATAACCCACAACCAAGTTTTGGGCCTCAGATAATAATTCCAGGTAGAATAATTCTGGAAAATAACTCTTAAACTGCAGTTTTTCTTACAATCCCTTCTATTTGCTCAACTAGCATAGGATCAAAAGTTTGGCTCCATTAGTTAATTGTGATGTAGCCCACGTTTAGCTAGTAGATTCATCCCTTTACTGATTCTGCTTTTAGACATATTTTTCTCTTTTGAATTTTATTTATATGGACATTTCTGAGCATACAATTTCTTCCAAAAATAGGACAAGGACAAATACCAGTTTGGTAAGACAAAGATTTTTTTCCGTGCTGGTCAAGTGGCCTATCTAGAAAAGTTGAGAGCAGACAAACTGAGGGCCGCCTGCATCCGGATCCAGAAGACCATCCGAGGGTGGCTGCTGAGGAAGAAGTACCTACGCATGCGGAAGGCAGCCATCACTGTGCAGAGATATGTGCGGGGCTACCAGGCCCGATGGTAGGTCTCCCGAGGGCCTGTCCACTTGGGCTTGTGGGTCCCCAGGATTAGGATGCCCACCTAATTCTTCATCCAGCCTAGGACAATTTTGAGTGGTCATCTACCTGAAAAGGTAATACCTTCCCCCTTCTTAGTTCCAAGGGACAAGAAGTTAACTCATAAGACAGCTAAATATAAGATTTTACTTAGCCTTATGAATAATTCAGATTTATCCTCCAAAAATGTGTAAATTTCTACCTATTTACATCTTCAGAAGTTTTGATTTTTTTTTTATACTTTTATGTGGGCTTGAAGAAATCATGTATACATGAAAACAGTCATGAGTAAATAATGACTTCAATGAGCAGTTTTCTGGAGCAAGTCACTGAGAGTGTCTGGAAGAGAATTATACTTTAAGCGTGATTACGTATTGTGATCACTTTAATTTAGAGTCTAAGACGAAATGAATTAATGATGAAATTAATTAATTAATTAATCAGGAAATTAATTAATAATTAATCAGGAAAGCTAGTGATAAGTAAGCATGGAATTTCTGTGACATCTGTCTGCTATGTAAAGGGGACATAACCTGGGCTAATAAATTCTGTCCTAGAAAGAATGAATTTTTATGAACTCACTTTCTTGTAAAATCTGGCAATATGGGCCATCCCACTTTTCAGGATTCAGGAAGGTTCAAATGAGATAATGAACACAAAAACACTTTGGAAAACCACAGGTTGCTATACAAATATAAGTAAATATAAATGTTGATTTAATGTGTACATTATTTAAATAATACAGTGAAGGTACTATTCATTATACCTAAGACATTGACACTCTAAGTTTCTGTAGCGTGTATTCCTGCATTGTTTTCGGATTATTGACAAAACATCACTGTTTTCTTTGGCTAGCTATGCTAAGTTCCTGCGCAGAACCAAGGCAGCAACCATCATTCAAAAGTACTGGCGCATGTATGTGGTCCGTAGGAGGTACAAGATTAGACGAGCTGCCACTATCGTGCTGCAGTCCTATTTGCGAGGCTATTTGGCCAGAAATAGGTATCGCAAGGTGAGGCATTATTTTCAACTTTGTTTATTCATTTCATTAATATTAATCAAATTCCACATCTGTACAAAGTTAGCATGAGGCTACAATGGATGTAGTAGATGTAAGGAGACAACTAACAATTAAGATGTATTTTAAAATACTAAATAATTATGTGTATTGACTGACAAGATAATGGAAAAAGAAAATGTACTTTTTTCTCTTTGTCTATGTCATTTGAAAAAAATGAGTGTATCAGTTTCTAGTAGCTGTTATAATAAATTATCACAAACTTGATGGTTTAAAGCAACAGAAATTTATTCTCTCATAGTTCTGGAGGCCAGAAATCCAAAATCATTATCACTGGACCAAAACCAAGGTGTCAGTAGGGCTGCACTCCTTCCAGGCACTCCAGGGGAGAATCCATTCCTTGCCTCTTCTGTCTTTTGGTGGCTGCCTGCTTCCCTTGTGCCTGTGACCACATCATACCAGTCTCTGCATCTGTCTTCACATCATTTTCTTCTCTGTGTATCTGACTTCTCTTCTCCTGTCTGTCTCCTATAAGAATAATTATGATGGCATAGGGGCCACCCATGTAATCTAGTATAATCTTCCCATCTCAAGATTCTTAACTTAATAACACCCACAGACCCTTTTCCTAAATAAGTTAACATTTGCAGATTCTAGGGATAAGGACCTGATATTTCTGGGGTCCATTATTCATGCAACTACAGAGAACTTTGAATAGGTAGACTATATGACAAATAGGTAGAAGATTATACCAAGAGTGAAACAATTTTTGGAAGAATTTATCTTAGTGAAGAGGAAATCAATTGTACATTAGTGTGGTTAAAATTGTATTGACAGGTATGATGTTCCAGAAGTTTTTGACAAATAATCTTTATATCTAGCGACTGTTAACATGACTGTAGATAATGAGTCATCAGATTAGTTTTAATTATCACTTGTGACAGTTGATGAAAGACTTTTATCTCTTTCATCTTGACAAGGTTTTGAGTCCTATAGGATATATTCCTAATAAGTCACAAATACAAGTCTGAATGTTAGAGTTCTGTGGGCATCGTGGTTAAAGGGAACATTAACGAGGTGATTTGGGGATTTGAGGGTAGGTCTCTAATCACAGGCAGTGTGTAAGGGTGACCTTGGCCCTTTTCATTTATTTTTTATTTACTTTTTTGTTTGAAATGATTTTAGACAACAAAAATTACAAAACTTCTGAGGCTTGCATGGATGATAGCTGTGTTGTGAAGAGAATTTGAAAACATCTACTTCAAGTCCTTCTCTCTGCTCATGCCTCCTTCATTGTCTCATGCTCTTTGTATATAAGCATGAGATTTTAGTCAGGGGAAGATCTTTAAACTTGACTTTTCAGATACACCAAACTAGTTACCTTCCTGTTTTTCTCAGAACTCTCCTCCAGAACACCTGAACTGGGTTTTGAGGCCATGGGCTTAGCACGGCCAGCTCTCTGGCCAGCTCAGGCTCTCACTGTAACTGAAAACAGTGGGGGTGGCAGGTTAGTGGCTTTTGCTCAAGTATTGGCCAGTAGCCACCCATAAGTGCTCCTTCTAGCTGTATTTCAAGTTCAAGCTCCCCTTCACAGGATTTGGGGAAGGTCTTAAAGGGTTGTTCTTTAATTTCTGTCACTCACTTGTGGAAACGTGATTGAAAATGGAAGCTCTGGTTATATACTGTTTCCATTTGATTAAACTTATGAAAATGAGGCTTAGTGTCTGAGGTTACATGGGGAGAAGCAAATGGAACAGGAAAATTGCCATTAAAAACTTTGCCACTGTGTGCTGCTTGGGTTTTAAAATCTGAAAGCCTTGAATCTGCCATCACTAAGTCTCATCCAGTCGTTCCTTAGCCATTGGAGAAAACAAAGGTCTCCCTCAGGATTGTGATGTTCAGTGAGAGCTCAGAACTCCCAACCTCAGTAAAGCGTGATGCAGTGGCTGCTCTTGAAGAAAACTGAAAGCTGCCTTAGCATTAGGAAAATGGCATGAATTGGCTATTCAAGTTTCCTGAACACCTATGTTTGATGGTTTGAAACTTAACCACTTATTTCTCAAATTATCTTCTAGGATGGCACATTTTAATCATTATTATTTTTAGATACATTACCTAAAAATATGAACTATACTCTTTTTTTTTTTGAGTTGGAGTCTCACTCTGTCACCCAGACTGGAGTGCAGTGGC